GCAGAATGGATGACGTAGAATATTCGACAGCGAGAAACGTCAAGTTTATGAATACGAACTTTCTAGAGTTGGCATAAGTGCGAGCGCAGGTATATAAGGCCGCTGATACAGCGAGGAGTAAAGCCCAAAGTACAATCGCGCAGTGGCAGTGACAGTTTTTAAAATCAGCTGTTGCTGCTAATATTGACAGTCACTGCCGCAGCAAACACAATACGGCGTTGTCAGTGACTGGTTTGACATTCCCTTTTGTTTGTTTACATTTCTGTTGTTGCCTTTTAGGCTTCAGTGACATAAACAGAAGTTGGATGCGTTTCATTTGTGTCAGATTCAACATGCAAAGTTTGCTGCGATGAAGACGGTGGCAGTGAATGTAGAATTTGGGCTAAACTGAGCAGTACTGCTAGCTGTCACTGCTGTATTGTGAGTCGCTTCATTGGACACCACACTTTCTAAAAAACAGCTGATTTCGAAAAACTGCCGCTGCCCACTGCCACTGCGTTATTGTACTTTAAGCTTAAGTTAGTCAGTTGTGAATCAGCAAGCTACAAGTCAAATTGTAAAACAGAGTTGAATTGTGTTATCAAGTTTTGTGAAGTGTTTTAATTGCCTTACCAAGTACTGTTAATTGTTGTTATTGCATAAACAAGTATCGTAGTCAAGGACAATCGGAACACCCGATTTACATGATTCAAGTTACAAGCAATTCTTGCTCATTCTCTTTATGTGTTTTCTATTTGCTTTTACACGTTTCAATTCTGTTGAATTCAAGTTTTTGGTTCTTTACATGGGAAGCAACGAAAATGCCAAAATCCAAGCAAGAATGTTAAAACGACTTGACGGTACAGACGCATGTGTACTCGTCCCTTTTTTCTCACCCCCTCTCTCCACATGCGAGCAGAATTGAATTCAATACTTGAACTGTGTAAAAGCAGTCTAACAAATTGTATCAAACGGGAACGCTGGTTATCAGCATGATGTAATTGGGGTGTTCACAGTTCGTTCCAAATAGTGTCTCAAAATGTAGACGTCTACATTTTAAGACGTTTTCTAACCGTAAAATCTGTGGGGTTGTTGTTTCCCATACAAAATTGGAAAACGACGCCGTCTACATTTTGTCACACTCAAAGGTATGTTTTTTACGCGTCTACATTTTGCAACCTCGCAGCAGGGTTGCATTATGGCAATACTAATCACATTTTTTTTATTTATTGGGCACGTTTTCTGTATTTGCATTTAATTTGAGCGCAATTTCTGATGAAAAGAAACAAATCAAGGAAAAGAAATAACAAATATTACGAATTGCTAATTAAGTTAAATAATTACAATTTTTCAGAAACAAAATCGAAAGGCGACATATAAAAAATGCACGCAAGGAAGAAATGTCTGACAACACCAGCAAAGTTTTGAGACGATTTTGCGACGACTGCTAGAAAGGGGTGCTCACAGTTTGATGCTAAAGATGTCTCAAAATGTAGCCGTCTACATTTTCAGACACAATTTGGAACGAACTGTGAACACCCCAAATAACATGAACCAAAAATACAAGATCACGCAGGCAGGAGAGTAGCCCGTTAGATTCGCATTAAGGAAAGAAGTTTAACGATTTACATTTCTTCGTTGTTTACAATTTGGTGGTGATTTTTTACTGCAATTTTCTTCATTTTCGCCTGTGACTAAATATATGTACCTAAATGAGACAGATTGTATCTAAAAAAAGTTACATAATTCATTTGTAGTTTTTTCTTTTATAAATTTTATTTAAAACATGACTACAAAAGATGCATGCACTTTAAACACGATTAAGTTTTTTCTTTCAACTGAGCCTATATCTATAGACTATAGTCTAATGGGAACCGGAGAAGCGTTGTTTTTGTCTAACTTTGACTACTGAAAAATATGGTGAAAAAGACAAAAAAACACGCTTTGCGAAGTATACTTCTTTATCCAGCAACAACACGAAAAGTCTGCTAATTTATCCGATTCTTTTTAATAGGTGCAACAAGTCTAGAGAAAATAATCAAATTGCCGTAAGTAACTTCGAAAGCATTTTAAATATATTTCCAGAAATCATAAAGCGAATATGGGTCAATAATAATAATTGTACCTAAAATCTACTGCCTGTACTTAATGTACCTTTAAGTCATCAAACGTCGGAAAAAGGTACAATTGAACCTACTTTTTCATCCCTGCTACGTACATATAATGGAAATATTCAATTCAAATACGCCCGTATTAAAATTAAACATTTTTACTACACGGATGGCGTTTTGCACATCTCGGATGCTTTTTCATATGTAATTAAGAAAGTATATGTATACAAAGCATGTACAGCGGTGACAACACATACACACATACATAAGTTGTGTTTTTTTTTTACAAATTATCCAGTAACTTGCCAGCAACTCTCCAGTAACTTTATTTCTAAGAATTCGCTCTCATAGAAAAAATTTGCAAAAAAGTACGCGAACGCTTTTCCAGTAATAATTTGCAAGTTTCATGAACAGCTGATAAATTGGTTGTTCATTCGCAGCAAATTCCTAATAACACAATATATTTTCTATTTAAATAGGTTTATTTTTAGAAACTCAAGAATAAAAACCCACAAACAGTTTCCTTAATAGTTTAAATTTCATCCAGCAACATGCGATCAGCTGTTTTTCGTACTGGAAAATTCTTACAAATAAAAATTTATCCAGTAAAATCCAGTAAAAACTTGCAACTTCAACTGTCATTTTTCGCTCTCTCAATTTCCCCTACTTTGCGAGTTTTTGCGTACGGAAACGCCAAAACATGAAAATTCGTAAAAACTTTTACTGGATTTTACTGGAAATGAGTAAACAAACGCAATTATAGTATGACATAATGCACTAATCTCGCGCTGTGATGTTGATTCAAACTCAACATTTGAAAACACCTTTGCATGTATGGCTGTAGCTGAGTATGCAAAGACGCTTGATACAATTCGTTGCAGCCGAGAGGGTCCGGGTTGAATTACCATCTGACGGAACATAAAATTAATTTTTTTTTTCCTAATTACGAAAAATCATCTGTGCACTTCACAACCACATATTTGATAACGTACATACTCAAATTTAAAACGAGTTGGATTGTTGCTCTTTCATATGAGTATATTTTTTCAATTAGGCACGTTTCTTTTTAATTCTAACGTTTTTTCCTTCAGTGTTGGAATGTGAGTTTATGACATTCGATACGATACTAGGAAAACCGCACAACCCTAACGGCGTCGTCCCTGTGGACCGACCCCATAGAGGCTGCACCAAGGCGAATTTATACAAGGTGGTGTTGATGGCGAATTTAGATTTTCGCCGAGGAACGTCTTAATGTCAAAATGATGTGTTTGTTGTAAAATGAATACGCCTTGTTTACAACAAACACATCATTTTGACATTCAGTAGTACCGCGGCGAAAATTTGATTCGCCATCAACACCACCTTGTATAAATTCGCCTTGGGCTACACGCTTCTTGGGGTTGCCGTTAGTGGAACTCGACGACGACTGAGATATCAGCCGATCTGGGCGGGGTTGTTGTAGCCGCTACAACAACAACAGAGTTCTGGTACTCGATTCCAAAAAATATCGTTTTAAAACTATCGAGTAGAAAATATCGGTATCGAATGCCAAAAGTATCGATATGGTATCGTATCGTATCGAAATTCGTGTCGCTAGTTATCAGCAGGTAAAACATGATCCAAATTTTTTTTTATACTGTAGTTATGAAATAATCGTTTTTAAAAACAGGAAATGGTAAAGATTAGGAACCCGATATATACGCAGTGGAGATGGAAAAGCCAACGATGGGTGCGTTGAGACAATCGGCAAAAATAATTTTCATTTGAGTTTTAATTTCTTGACAGGCGGTGCAGAAACTCAAAAAGACTAACACACAGCGGGCCCTGGAAAGCTTTGATGACTTTTATGGCTCAGTTTTTGGTATCCGATGGAGAAATATACGAGCAGCGTTGCTAACACAACATAAATATATTGCATTAGTAAACAACTTTGGCGATACGGACAACACCTGCAATGGAATGGAACTGAATGGTCGAGAGTGCTCAATTGACATTTTTGCAGCAATAAAATATTTATCTTACAGGCGCCTTGAATGTAAAGTCTTTGATAAACTTGGCAAGATATCGACTTGAACACTGTGATGCATCGCCTACAAAAAATGCAAGTAACAAGTTGGATAAAACGCTAGATGAATTGCTACGCAAGCAGGAAGAACGTGAAAGACATTCGCTATATCCCAAGGGTACAGCCGAGGCACCAACATCAGTACCAAATCGATTGCAGTACCGCGAAGAGGATGCCGGTGGGAATGAAGGCCTTTCAGAAATTGAATGCAACACTGGAAAATTCGAACCAAGTCTTGAGGAAGCGATTGAAACGAACACACAAATAGATCAAAGTCGCCTAATTGATCCCCAATACAGTACGGGTGCCTTATATGAATTCATGCCTGCTAGTAGAATAAAAGGAATGGAAGATTGGATACCTGAATCTGACCATTATAAATACTATCAAACGCAAGCAGATTTTCCACTGAAATTTGAGGCCGAAACAGAATTTTTCTACCCAGAGAATCTTAATCTTTACACCTACGAACTAGGCAATTGTTCAGAGTTCAAAAGCCCAAGAAAATGTCTAACAGGTGATTTACATTGAATCAAAAGATTGTTACATTAAGTTATTATTTACTTAATTATTAAGGTGTACTTTCACATTATCTAATGGATGGTGCGTCAATATTGCCACCATTGTTTTTGGATATCAAACAAGGCGATCGCGTTTTGGATGCCTGTGCTGCTCCTGGCGGGAAATCACTTGTAATGCTACAAACACTCTTCCCAGACATTTTAGTATGTAATGATATTCAAGAATCACGTATCAATCGTATTCGGAAAGTGATGCAAGAATATCTTTTTGATTTCAAAGAAAATTGGGAGAATAACCGTGTTGCACTTAGTCAATGTGATGCGCGGTTCTTAGATGTTTACGAGAGTTATGACAAAATTCTTGTAGACGTACCTTGTACCACAGACCGCCATTCTTTGATGGAGAATGATAACAATATTTTTAAAACAACTCGTATCAAGGAACGTTTACGCATACCTGAACTGCAAGCTAATATTTTGTCAAATTGCTTACGGCTCCTTAAGCCGGGCGGTAGCTTAGTTTATTCAACATGTGCTCTTTCACCTGTTCAAAATGATGGTGTTGTGCACATGGCACTACAGAAGGTATTCAACGAGCACGGTATAACGGCGACAGTAAAGGATCTGAGTTATTTAATTCGATTGTTCGAGGATATATTTAGATTTGAGCAGTCAAAGAATATGAAGTATGGACAAATGGTACTACCCTATCTGCCAGCGAACTTTGGGCCAATGTACTTCAGCAAATTAACAAGGAACACTTAAATGATAAAATATTTTATTTATTAATTTCCGAACTAGATAATATTAATAAAGGAAGATAACAAAAGGATAATCAGACCTTTTTCTTCTTTTTTGGTTTTGACGGCAATGGGCCGGGTATCTTGAAAACCGTGCTGTAAAGAGTTAAGAAAATTGTACGTTTGTTAGTAGTTTTGAATTTTGGCAATTGTATAGATCGACTTATTAAGTGCCTAAGCGAGATTTATAAAGCGATAATTATTACATTATTAAAAATTTTGCATTGTTCAACTTTTTTTTTGAATGCGGGATTTGAATGAAGCAAACGGACTTTCAACAAATCGCTTTCAATTAAATGGCCTGCAGACACCTTTCGTTCAACTTTTGATTTAACTAAATGCTTGTGAAAGTTGAACAATGCAAACACACTTTAATTTGCTTTTGAGATATGCACATCGTCGTTTAAAATACAAAACCGCGTATCGTCATTCTGCAAAACCGCGTAACTGACATTGGCTGCCAAAAATTGGATTTGCTCACACAAACTCTTGGCTCAATCCTTATCCATTCGCGCTGAAACATACTATCCAGAAATGCGATTGCTTTATAAAATAGAGAAGCAATTTGAAATACGAGTGTTTTTACGCACTAGAAAATAATTTATACAACTTCACTTACGCGGGATTGCATTTTGCTGACAAGCGGTTTTGGATTTTGCTGATACGCGGTTTTGCTCTTTAAACGATGATATATGTACATAAGTATGAAAATTCTCAAAAGTGAAAAGTCGGAAAACTTACTGGCATGTTGTGCATATGGGACTGAACTTGCAAAATACTGAAAGAATATTTTTTTTTTAATTAAATAGGCTAATACAATATATTCAGGCAGGTCCTGCAATTCACTTCCGAGTGAATTCAATCCGAATTCGTTTGAAATTCACTCGGAAGTGAATTACAGAACCTGCCTGATTGGTTTTAACATGTGCAAGACTTACTTGATAAGCACACCGAACAAACGTAGCCAATATCAATTAATTCACGATGGCAAAAACATGCGGCCCTATAGTCCACCTTCGTCGCAGGAGGTAGGACCAACTTTTGACGCATTTGTGGATCGGGTAGGAAAACCCACAGTAAATATTGCAGCAAACCATCCAGCTGGGTTAGACGTAGATATTGACCACCTGTAATGTCGCAGCCCTGTTGTAATAGACTCATAGTCTTATCCAATGCACAAACATCAACAGTAATGCCTAATTTTTGTGCCGTAAAGAAAACGTTCATGTATGTCATGTACTGAGAGGCGCATTCGTTACTGCCTGTAACAACTAAAATACGTGAATGCATTTTAACACCTGCGGCGGCACTACGTTGTATCTGTGGAACCGATTGAAAGCATTTGTTATTTATAATGACAATCAAAAACGTTACTGGGCACCTACTCTAGATATATAGCATAGAGCCATTGCCATGCTGCCTGCTAAGAGACTCTCGCAAGGCGCATTAACTTTCGGAGCATTGGTTATAATATGGCTTAAACGTTGCTTTACAGTCTTCTCTACTAAACTGAAGACCTCGTATTGTCCATCAACCTGACGAATATCCAACTGCTTTCCTGGCATAGGATATAAGAAGTCTCTGAAATAAACATGTAGAATTAGTTCAAAACATTACTACACTTCAATGTTGTAAATACGTGGCATGATGATGACAAGAAAGGACAGCTAGTTTATTTTGGGAGCATTGCATCAGATGTGCATTGCCAAAAGCAATAATAGCATCCAAGAATTGAGTTAGCAACTGCGGGTTTTGTCGCACAATACGTTGGGATGGATTTGTGTCCAATACAATAGCTAACAAACTGAATTTATTTGATTCTGGAGAAGTAAACATTAATAGCGCAATATCAATTGACAACTTATATTTGCTTACCATCCTCATCCGTTTTATCCATTTTTGAGAGAAATATATTACTTATTTTTTAATTAACAAACGACACAACACAATACCGGTGCTTAGGAATGCAAACGATGCATCGATGTTTTCAAAACATCGATGTTTCGTCCAAAAATATCGATGTTAACATTGATGTTTTGCTGGACGATAAATCGTCGATACAGCGACTAGAAAAGTGAAAAACATCGATATCGTTCATTCACTCCGTTCGTATTATGCCGAACGACCAGNCGGACAGACGGACAGACGGACAGACGGACGGACAGACAGACATGGCTTAATCGATTTCTTTTTTCATCCTGATCATTTATGTATACATTTGTCTATATCTATCTCGATTCGTTTTGGCTGTTACAAACAACCGTTATGTGAACAAAATTAATATACCCTTGTGCACAAGCGCGCTCGGGTATAAAAATATTTCACATAATTTATTTATTTGCAAAAGCTGACGAGCGACGCACGCCAAAAGTTGAGAGTTGGCCATCTTTTTGCTTTGNGTTCATTCACTCCGTTCGTATTATGCCGAACGACCAGTGGCAAGCAAGCGTTTGTTCTAGGAAGCTGGTGCAACCATAATTCAGGATAGAAGCTGGGCTCGAATCGTAAAGGCCGGTCCACATAGATCTTTCGCGTTTGCCTTGGCGTTGGCCTTGGTTTGACAGAACGCACGTTAAAAGTATGCTTGCTACAATGAACGCTTGACAGCGAATGCTTGAGCCACAAAATTAACATACTAACGACAGATAACGATATTTCTTGCCTGCACTTGATTANGGTTGCATTTGAATTCATGTATTCATAGTCAGCTGTTGAAGCGACGCCAACGCCAACGCAACGCTAAAGTTCTATGTGGACGGGCCTTAACATCCGTTCACGGATCGAAAACCATACGAAAAAAAATACGTGATACCGTCAGTCGAATAAGTGAATGGGGTAAAGAGTACGTTCACGTATGTCATAATCCGAAAAATATGTTTTTAAGTGACGAGTATTACGCACGTATTATTTGCAAATAACAATTTGCAAAATGGTAAAATTTGCCGTATAAACGCAGAGTTAATTTTTTACTTGTAAATAACTAAATCACGCAAATAAGTATTGATTAGTGGTACTATTTGCAAATAAGCGCAAGACGCCGCCATTCTTAGGTTTATTTTCTTTTTCGATGTTTATCTTATTTCCTTTTTATAATCAAGACGTTGACCATTTTGGTCATATTATTGCCTTTTTATAATCAGGCAATATTAAAAAAGAATTTTTCACCATCGAATAAACTTACGTATAAACGTAGTAATAGTCATCTTGTTCTAACTCGTAGAAGTAAATACGTCGTGTTTATTAAAAATGAAATTTTTGCTAAAATAAACAAAAAGTTGCTGTGATAACACACGCCAACAAGAATCGGACTATAGTTTTCCGAAGGTATTTGACGTACTGAACTCGAATCTGACCCCAGAATAGCCCAATAACGTCATGTTTTCGAGATATTCTAACCTAGAAGCACAAAAATCACGATTTTTGGGCACATTTGAGCTCCTGTAATACGATGAATTTTTTTTTTTCAGAAAGATCTTCTCATATTTAAAAATACTACTCCTCCCCTCCAAAACTCATTTTAAATCTTTAAAAAATCTTTATTTGTCACCGAGAAGTCGTCTGTTGAATTTACTGGCCCATAGTCATAGTCTCAAGTTAAAACTCATTCTTGTTAAAATATAGTTTTATGTTTAGAATAGAGTTTCAAGTTTTGCTAATCGTAGACATCTTAGAAACAGCTTTTTGTTAAGATGAGAGAGAACAGTGCTATCCATATGAAGAGAAAAAATTTACCCGGCAATATATAGAAATATGAGTACTTTAATTAGTTAACCTTGTGTCCGCTGCAGGATTGTGGATTTAGCAAGCCGGGAAGTCGCGGGTTCGAATCCCACTGCCAGGGAAATTTTTTTTACATCTGTTTTTGTTCTATTAAATATTACTTAAATTTTTGTAATTTAATTATAGTTGTTGTGGCCTTTTACATTAAAATTAAACTCCAAAAAAATTTGATAAATAACGAGATTTTTATATCAAATACCATAAACAAAACAAGATAATAAAACTAAATTTATTAAAATAAAATAAGATAATGTTTATGTGAAAAAAAAAATATAAAATAAAAAAAAAATTGTTTGGAATCGCTCGGAGTGGGGACCGAACCTGGGAGCTATTGCGTTGACTACTTCAACAACAAAACAAAACTTAGAACCTTATTTTACCATTTTAAAACCGCGTTCTCCTCATTTTAAAGTTAAAATTCTGTTTTTGCCATAAAATGCATTTTAAGTTGACTATGAAAGAGTTAAAATGGTGATTACAATAAAACACAATTTTAATCATTAAAACCTTTTTCTAACTTCTCTATGACTACGGGCCACTGAGTCTAGTAAATTCGGATATTCTGAAAATGAGGAGTAGTGGATAAAACTCAGTAAATTCAACAGACGACTTCTCGGTGACAAATAAAGAATTTCGGAGGGGAGGAGTAATACTTTCAGATAATGAGATGATCTTTCTGAAAAAAATTTTTTCATCGTGTTACAGGAGCTCAAATGTGTCCAAAAACCGTGATTTTTGTACTTTTTGGTTAGAATATCTCAAAAACCTGACGTGATTGGGCTATTCTGGGGTCAGATCCGAATTCAGCACGACAAAGACCTTCGGAAAAGTATAGTCCGATTCTTGTTTAGAAAATTTAATAAAATTTTGACGGCCTGTGTAATAGGCCTATTCATACCTAGGCCTATTCAGTCCGAGCCTATTTTTCGGTGGCACAAGTTTTCGAGATTGCCACCTGGGCGGCTGGAACGCCCTAGGTTCCAGTTCTCGCTTACGCTTTAGTTGGTAAGTTTCATGTTCAAGGGACGGTCTGAAAGCACAAGTTTCTTAGTTGTCTTACTTGGGCGGCTGGAACGGCCTAGGTTCCTGTCCGCGCCTACGCTTTGGTTGGTGAACATCGTAGTTTGGTTACAGTCCGCGGATATGCTAAGGGTTGGCTTAATCACGGGTGATACGCCGCTATCTCTCTAGGTCCCTCATTTCCTTCAAAATTGAAGTTAGTGTGTCGCTGGTTGATGCCCATTCACTGGCTCCTTTCGTCATATAGTCGACTACTGACTGTGGCGTAAACACTCCTCCAACAGCTTGTTTCTTTTGGTTCATCTGCCGATGGAATCAAGGGCACTCAAAGAATACGTGGCGCACATCTTCTTCCACGCCATTTCGACAGAAGTCGCAGTACGGGTCGTGCTGATGTTTGAATTTAAACAGGTATGCCTTAAAACAGCCATGACCACTAAAGAACTGACTAAGATAAAAATCTACTTCGCTATGCGTTCTATTAAGCCAGGATACCAGATTTGGTTTGCAGCGATAGGTCCAATGACCTTTAGTCGTACTATTCCACTTGTTTTGCTACTCCGTAATGCTGCTTTCCCGGGCTTGACGTCGGTTAAATTGAGTTAGAGTACGCGGCGTGGATGCAAGGACCGTCGATTCTCTCGGGTATTATACTGGCGATTATGAAAGCTGCTTCGCCCGACACTGTTCTGAAGGCGTTGCAAACTCGGAGCGGGTATAAACGGTATGTTGAGTTGCCTCCGCGGAAGTATGCTGGACACTGTGCCGCGTTTGACCAAATTGGGGCAGCATACAGTATTTGGCTTTTAACCACGATCGCTAAGAGTGAACGCCTCTTGGACTTCCCTGTCGAGTCGCTTGGCAATAATATGCTCCAAGATTTTCCCTGCCGTGTCTAGCAGACAAATAGACCGAAAACTTGAGGGATCATCCAGAGGTTTACCCGGCTTAGGTATTAAAACAATCATTTGCCTCTTCCAGATTTGAGGGAAAGTTCCATTCGTTAAACATCTATTCAAAACTTGTAGGAATGAGGAAGCGCATGGCTGACTGCAGTCTTAAGAGCTATGTTGGGCACGCCATCGGGGCCAGGAGCTTTCTTTACTTCCACTTTAGCTGTTGCGAGTGTGATTTCTTCTTCCGTTACAGGGTCAACAACACTCAACGGATCACCGTCCATAGTGGACACAAACGGTCTCTGTACAGAAAAGAGTGTCTCCACAACGGACTTTAGGTATGCAGAGTTGGTCGGATTCATGTCTTTGCCTTTCAGTTTTTTGAGACAATTTTGTAAGCCGATACCCAAGGATTCCGTTCAGCATCATCGCAAAGCTCTAAAAAGCATTGCTGCTTACTTTCTTTAATTCCTTTCTTTAGTGCGTCGCGTGCACTCTTATAAGCCGAAGTTGTCCCTTTCCCTAACTCTCTGAGCGTTTCGCCTACATCTTAGACATTTCTTTCGCAGGTCCGCTATGTTATCGTTCCACCAGTAAACCGCATGACGATACGTGGAGGAAGTTCTCCTGGCCATTGAAGCATCGCATGCTGCGCGAATATCGGGCATTAGGTGATCGACCATGGAGTCTGCTGACCCTTGGTAAACGGTGGATGGAAGCATGCTGGTAAACGAGTCAGGGTCTAAATTACTGGTTTTCCAGCCGTGCGATATTCCGGGGTTGTAAGTCCGCTTAGACAGTTCTCGTCTGAAGTTGATATTGCAAATTAAAGCTGAATGATCACTTTGCGTATAACACATGCTATGTTTCCATTCAGTGAATCTATATAGCCCGGAACTGATAAAGGTCAGGTCTATTATTGACCCAAAACCAAAGCGTGGTACATTTGTGCATAGTTTGGCCGTGTGCCCAGTTTGACCGCACTTGAAGCACGATTTGCCAAAATAGTCGCTGCTCCTACTGACCTTGGATATGTGGCCGAACTCAAAACATTTGTAGTAGCGCATTGGCTGTATTTTATGTCTTTTTCGGCAGATAACCCAGCCAATTCTGATTTTACCTTGGGCTACTAATTTATTGGCAACGCTCTCGGGTAGGAGTAAGGATTGCGGTCTGTGTGCCTCCGTATGCTTTTCGTATCGACCGGATATCGGATACTTGCACTTTAGAGGACTCACCCTGGTCATTTAAATCTAAGCACACCTCTTCGCTTGTCGTAACTTCGTCGATATCATGTCTGTCTATATGA